CGCGCTTGGTAGTATGAAAATCTTTCAACAAAAGACCTACGGTTTTCTTCAGATTTCGCAAGAGCGCGCGCGTAAATTGTTTTAGAACGTCCGTGCTGCGAAACACTGTGTTGTTGTATGGTGCTTAGGAACTCGATTTTGAAATGCTTTCGAAAGCAGAGGTTTTTGAATAATTTCGGCATGCGCGCGCGACGACGCTCGCTTGTGCACTTCGTCCCGCTTTTGCAAGGGGTTCTTGACTTGACAACTCATGACTTTTGATAAACGTCTGCGCGCGCATAATATTTCTTGCAAGGTGACCGAGGGGGGTTCGATACCGGTTTGGCTGGGGTGGTATGACTTCACCGTTAGGATGGACGATGGGGCAGAATCATTTGCACACTGCAATACGAAAGGGGGGGTCTTTAAGTCCAGAGGGGAAGGGTGGTATTATTGCTTTTAGAAAGGAGACGTTTTTGTTGTGCTGTCTATTTGAAACAATTTATGTGGCGCAAAGCGACGCGATGTAATTTATGTTGTGCAATTTGCGTGGTGCAATTGAATTTTTGTCAATCTCATTGCTCGCGCAACCGTCCCACCCATCAACCCGCAACTCGCTTTGCAAAATCAATGCGTCGATTGCGATGACTGCTCGGCCTGCGGCCGCGTTAGCGCGCGCCGTCTTGCGCGCAGAGCGGCCAACTAGTCTGGCGCGACCGGCGCGGCCGCGGTGGCGCTGATCGCGGGCATTTCCGTGCGAGCCGGTGTTTGGGGCGAGCACGCGTTCATGGCGACGTCGACAACGGCAAGAAGATGATGGTAGCGATTCTTGTGGCGACGATGACGACGACAGCGGCAAAGCCAATGACGGCGCCGACGGTGATCACGCCGCTGACGATGATGGTGTCCACGTGTCTATGATGAAGGTTTTGAACGGATGTCGAAATGCCCGCGCGGCCGACGGGCGCGATTGGCACTCATTGTATCATGTGACAGGGGTCGTGCCCCCCAGACACGTACCCAAAGGTTTTCGAATGATGTCGACACGCGCGCGCGACAGGCCCGTTCGGTCGGATTTGGCGAAAATATTTGAAACTATTGTTTCCATCCGAATTCGCAAGAACGCGCGCGCATACCTTGTCTGACCGCTCATTTTGGGAAACCACGTGTGTGTGTGTGCGTGTGTGTTTTTATCGGCTTTCGGGACAATCGGTATTGCAATCTCTATGAAATCAGTATGTTTTTTTCCCCAAGGATTTCGGCATGCGCGCGCGATGACGCGCGCGCGTGCAGTTCGCCCCGTTTTTTCCGTGAGGGTGTCTTGCAAACGGATGGCTTCTAATACAAGAATGTGCGTTCATCGTATTGTTTGACGAGGATGATAAAGGGGGGCAGCCTAGTTGGGATGGTTTGAATTCGTGGCTGAAGTGAAATATGGGGCAGAGCCGTGTGTAAATAGCACCTCCCCAAAAAGGATCAATAAGTCCAGGGGAGGGGCACCTTTTGTAGAACAAGGGAATACGTGTTCTGCAATCTATGCGAAGCAAGCCTTGTGTTGCAAAGCGACGTGGTGGCGCCGAGGCGGCGACGGCGACAAAATAGCAACACCATAACTGCCAAAACACCACCCAGGCCCAGACGACGGGCGGCGACAAAGCGGCGACGGAACGTCGACTGCGACAACATAGCCGCCAGGCCGACACCCAGGCCCAGACGGCTGGCGGCGACGAGGTGGCGACGGGGAGGCGACGGCGACAACATAACCGCCAAAGCACCACCCAGGCCCAGACGACGGGCTGCGACAAAGCGGCGACGGAACGTCGACTGCGACAACATAGCCGCCAGACCGACACCCAGGCTCAGTTTCTTAAGACGCAAGTAAAAACCCTTAAGTGCAAGCAGTGCTCGGGGGAACAAGTCGGATGCCCCATTGGCGGCCAACGCAGTTCAGCACCTGCTCAAAACCAATGCGCTGCTGCGCATATTTGCTGAATATTTCAAACAAGAGTTTATACCAACAATGCGTCTTCAATCTAGCAAGTGGGAAACCTATATGTTTCTCATAATCAGGAGCCCCGCAGGAGCCACACGTGGCCTTTCTTTACTTTCACATCAGCTTCCCAAGAGCCTCGCAGAGCTTCTCATGGACCTCTCATGACCCTCTCAGGAACGCCCCAGGACCCTCGCAGATGTGTCTCAGCAACCTCCTGGTAGCTTCTGAAGACCCTCTCAAAACTCTCTCATAACCCTTTTCAGGACTCTCCGGGCATCCTTGCGTCGACCGTTGTCTGGCTTGTGTGGAGAGAAACATGCCAATCAAAATCTAGATCCGTCATCTCATTGTCCATTGCATCGCCGCACATGGCTTCTCGTAGGGTAATTTATCTGGTAGGACATCAGACGGACCCATCACCGTTTCGTCACTACAGTGTCCATTGTATTAAGATTAGGGTGTTCTGCTTTGATCGTCTAGGTCTCAAGGTGTGGCGTGGGCGCAACATGCGCGAGCGCTGGAGGCACTGCGGATCGGCCCTCTTTGGGAGTGATTTCGAACGTCTCCGTGGTCCCCTCACG